AATGGCAGACATTACGTGGCATTCGTCTACTCTCCTGAAAATTCCCTAAACCGCCGTTTTTCCATTATGGAACTCGTCCTACCCTCTTTTTCTCTTTTTTTTTTTGTCCGTTTCTTTTCTTTTTTTTCGCTGTTTTTCGCGTTTTATACTTTACCATCGTTCTAATGTAGGCCATTTTTTGAATCAAAAAATAACGGTTGCCAAGCTGGAAGCCTGATGATTCGTGATATCGGATAATTGAAGTTTCTTCAAAGTTCGTAGCATCCCTACACCAATAATGCTATGAGTTATGCCACAAGAGATGTTTAGGAGGAAACTTACTTTCGAGGATGGATAGAGTTAACCGACGGACATTCAGCATCTGATAGACACCAGTTTGTTGGTCGGCTCACTGTACACGTCATCTTCAAAGTGTAGGGATCAGGGCAGCTCTCTCCGTCGCCTGTTTGAGAGTATGCTGAAATTCATTATGATCAATCGAGGAACGTCTTAACAACTTTGGATGCTTTTCAACCTTCTGAACATAACGTGCTCTGAAAAGCCACCACATGTGAATTAGACATTTTCCGAACACCCATTAATCGCATTCTGGAAATGTTGTAACCTAACGTTTTCACACGCATAAGCCTAAACTATCGTTCAACAGCTCCCACACAAAACATAAACCTCGTAGTGGTGATGACATGAAGTAATAAATTTCAAGCTATCGAATTGAGGAAATTGCCTCATCAGTACACGGCCTTCAACCCCTCATTTAATGGGAATTTGTAAGATTCTCATTTGCTGTTTAGTCGAAGTGCTGAAATATTAAGCGTAGTCCTGCTTGCGCACCAAGTTCGAAGAAGGTTCATCTGTATCATTTGTTGATCGTCGATTTCCTCGAGCCTTCTTCAGTACGTCTGACGTCTCCACTCGTCAATGTCGCGAGCTAGAGCAATCCAATGTCTCTTCCCTGCACAAGGGATACGAGCACGAGCATAGCACTCCTTTCGTAAAAAGGTCTGACATCGCGCTGGCGGCTATCCTAGCGTTCGTTCGGTCGGCTCACTGTGTCCCGCTGGATCCAGACAGTAACCGCCCTGATTCAAGGGTATCACATTACCGCACCACGTGTCCGGGCAATCTTGCCTGATACTCGATAAGTGACAGTTTCCCTGATCTTCGTTCGCTGACTTGGCTCGCAGTTCCGGATTCATTTCTGTACTTGGAGGTATAGGAAAATTCCAGGCATCGCCTTTTAACAGCCCGGTAAACGACGCTTATGCTGCTTTCTAAAAATCAAGAACCGCAGTATTATCCTCTGAACATTTTTCCTCTCACGAAAAGTTTGCTTCAAAACTCACACAGTACCACAGCACTACAACCTAGATATAAGGGGGAAGCAAAAAAGCCAAATAGCTTCTTTTTGTGATTTTTTGAACAATTAGGGAGGGTGTTGTGCTTGTGATGGTGCTACCTATGCACTTACTTTTGGGGAAGCCTATTGAAAGGGTCTATGACCGTAAATAAAAAACAAGAGATGTAAATGCTGTCCACTCAGCCCCGCACAAAAGCCACACTGTTCTTTACAGCTAACGATTACCCGTTTCCGTCCCTCAAGAAAGTTTTTCCAACAGGTAGTCTAACCATTCGGTAAGTGTGACGGGTGGCCAGTTTTTTTTGTTTGTTGACTTGCAGCTCTTTCTCCGAGTACATACGAGGTAAGAGCCCGATATTGTACCACTTTCCACACTTTTTCGTGTACACAACAATAGCAGGCCATTTACCACGCAAGGGCCAAATATAAATTGCTTTAATGCAGGAGAATCAGTGAGGAATAGTGCCCATGGGATAGATTCGAGGAGGTTTTAACATTGTATGTAACTGGAGGTGGGGTCGTGGCAAAAGGCGCACTTCGCACGCGCATGTCACGGGTTCAAATCCCGGGTCGATATCCGCCTAGGCCAACCAAGCACTCGATCCCTCCGGGGTCGGTTAATTGGTACCAAACACGTCTGGGACGGATAGAATTACAGACTTGTACATCCACTGGCCCCCGCAAGTCAATGTATAGGCTACATACGCATTCAATATGCCACTACGATTCTGAATGGATGTCGGATGCGTAGGCGCATCCCTCAGACGGGATTGATCAAGCCCCAAGACTTTATCCTTTCACCACAGTAAAGAGAGTCCCATCATGCTGAGTGTGAATGAGTAGATGAATAATTATTCAGCATGGTAGGATTTTTCCTTCAGATGAAATGAAGCCGCCTTTTCGCTCTTCGGTACACTTGCTGGATCATATCTGTCAAGGCGATTCCTTTACAGCGAAGGAGTACGCGAAGTTCACCAGCGGATACTCAGTAACGTCCGCTGGTCAAAATGAACTCAACGTTCTCCGATACCTTCCAAGGAACGTGTACCGCCAATACAAGGTAGTATAAAGGCTGATTTTTAGATGAAATGGGAGAGTTGCCCCAAAACTCCATTTACACAAAAAAATAGGAAACATCCCAAAACAAGGCTGATATCATGGGCTTTTTTAGTGAATTAAATCGTGCTCTTCTTTGATAGTAGTTGGCTACCAACTATCATCGAAATTCAACTACCCTAAAATTCCATAGATAAGAGCGGGTGAACCTACCGGTGAAAAATGAATTGGAAAAAATCGAAATTGAATGCAGTCACCCCTCTAACTTGATGGATGGATAAATTAAACTTCGAAGCAGAAGTTAAGAAGAAGCTCCGCCCCTCAACTCTAAACCCCGCCCACTTAATAAACAATTCATATAGAAAAATAGCGATTTTAACGGATCGATGTTTTTCTATATGATTTGTTTATTAAGTGGGCGGGATTTAGAGTTAATGGGCGAAGCTTCTTCTTAACTTCTTCCTCGAAGTTTAATTTATCTATCCATCAAGTTAGAGGATGACTGCATTTAATTTCAATTTCATTCCAAGTCATTTTTCACCGGTAGGTTCACCCGCTGTTATCTATGGAATTTTAGGGTAATTTCGCAAATTCTCGTATCACTCTGGGGGATCCTTTGGTAAAAAAAGCTCGGTTGTGCTTCCTAATCGGTTATGGATCGTTCCAAATTGCTCTTTTGTCGAGGTATTTTTGTACATACTGTCTCTACTCTTACAGTGAGCAACTGTCTGTCGAAGTGCTGAGAATCGAAGCTGTAGAATTTCTCTAAGAAAAGAAGGAAATGCATATTCTCCAAGTAAAGGAGGAAATACATATTTTTCAGGAGAACTGGTCCTGGAACTGACCTATTGGGAACCGACGGAGCCGAAGAGTCTGTGGTACTCCTAGGTTAATGCACATGTTGTAGTTGCAACCAGTTGGGCAACATTTCGCCGGCATTGTAGATGATCCTCGACAATCGTAGTCATTTGAACACCTCAACAACAACAGCAACGATACAGTCAAGCTTCTCTCATAATTCTTTCGATGTGCGTTCGGCACTCGGGATTCATTTGTTACAGTAAAACATTTAAAATCAGTCCCTCCAGTGGGAAAAGTAGCGATGGCTATCCATGGTTTTCAGAAGCTTTCCGATTTCTCGAGAGATAATCGATCTAGGAAGCATCACAGTTGAATTACATCTCGCTGATCTTGATCACCGAATGTAGTCCACTTTAACTCTTTTTACTGTACAGTGCATAAGTCCAATGTAAATGAGATAGTTAGAGATAATGTTGCACCCACCAATTTACTCCTCGCATCCTTCGACACTGAATGTTCAAGGCACTAGGAGAGGGACACCTGAATAATGCTTATAAAGTTTAGATAGTCGGGAGAAGGAAATTCTATAGAATATTCGTTCAGTGATTGAAGTTGCATTATTACTATTCGTGATGTAGACCTAAGCGCTTTGTATGGAGGAGATACGCCTCTTCCACCAATAAGAACTTTCTTTACATTCTATTGACCCTGTCAAATCTTGAAATTGATACCAAACTTTTTCTCAAAGTACTTTTGCAACTACTTAAGTTTTGAAATTTCAATGTTTTATTTTGAAAAAAAAACAGCCAAAGGAATCGCTACTGGTTTGAACATTTGAAGTAACACGTGTGCCTACCTCACAGGGAGATTTGGTAGACCTTTTTGTCTGATACAATCACAGAGGAAAATTGCTAATAAACTGCCTCTCTACAGTCTCTTCCCACGTTGCCTCTGACTCGGCTCGCTGTCGGAGCTCAAAGAACCTACGTGTTTTGTGATGGATTTGTACAGCAGGAACCTCCGGACTCCGCACTGACACAAACCGTTCCCGATTCGCAATATGGTGATGGCATGCATGAGTGGAAATACATCGAACATAAAGGCATAGAGGAGAACGCTGAAAAAAGTCTCAGCTCAATGAAATGTCTCACTAAACTGTTGTCCATTCTTTCATCTGGTCGTTCTCGAAATTTCGGTGTTTTACATTGCAGAGTTATAAAATTTTATAGGCTTGTTATGCGGTTGACAAAAATCCGTTGAATGCCGCCAGAGGTCTCTAACGTTAATAAAACCCTTGAACGATATTGTAAACCTCATCCAAAAAAAGCAACTTCTATTTGGCTGATGTTTCGACCTTGTCGCCTTCGTAAGAATCTGAAAGCCAGATGTAATCGGGATTTAATCTCATAAATTATTTAGATTCATCATTTAGATTTAGCTCAATTCAAATATGGCCTGGATTTCTTAGAACGGTTTTGTGTGATATGCTAACAAGTGCTAACCTATCTTAAAATTCGAAAGAAGGTGTGTAAACCATTTTTTACACCGTCCATTCAGACCAGCCGCAGTGGGCAGGCCCCGGATGACCTGATCGCTGACTTGACGTCAGTGGCGATTGAAACACGCACACACCACACCACACCACACACAACACACACGCCGAGAACCGGGCAAGGTCCCAAACTACTCCCAAAGTTGAGGGCTCCCGCACAAAATCCTGACTTGTGCCTCAAACTCTACATCACCCTGGCATTGACTCCGGCAGACCCCCAGGGAGATTTTTCAGACCTTACCTTTTTCTTGATAACCTATTGGTCTATTGACGGAATGGAAAGAATGAGGTTGAAACCCCCTTCGCTTTTTGCTACGACAGTTCTTCACTTCCTTTAAGGCATATGTATGTGGAAGCGAACAGTGAACATATCGAATAATAGTCATTCGACATCTTTTCTTCGAATTACTAGTGCTACGAGATGCTGTATAAAAGAAAAAGTTTTGGCCGTTGATCATTCCCGCGCATGGGACACTTGCATTCGACTTTCATTCAGATTATAGCGATATCTGAATATGGATGTGGCTTATGCATTGTTTTACGACAGCCGAACAGCAGATGTGGAAGTCAGCGCTTCTACTTACCCCTGAGATATTGACTGACTGAACAATTCACAAAAGAGAACCAATTTGGGAAACGATCCTTGTACTTTGTATGTGATGGGGAGGCATGGAGGCATGTGACTTGCGCCAAGTGTAGCGTATGTTCATAAGAATCAGCCTTTCCCTTTTCGTCATTACTTTTCAGCTAATCTGTAGGTATTGCAAATAGATTAATACCTCAATAAAAATACTCTTAATGGAAGGCTCATACCAAATCTTGTTATCAAACTTAAATGGTAAACATGTTTGAGGTGTACCCAACAATAATCAATAGTTCTAAATAAAATTTCTCCCGATATTTAGGCATTTTGAAAGAACTCAACAAACAAAAGCATAGGAGATAACCGTACTTTGAACTGGAGCTACCGCGTTAGAGCCTTCATCCTCGTATTGAGTCCCATAACTATGGAGGGAGCGAAAGTACGGTCGAGGCATTGACGGGCATTCAGGCCTCTCCACTCCTGAAGCAAGAACGAGTTTCCAGAAATCTAAGCTTATACTTCGAAATGACCAAAGTTGAAGCTTGAGATACCTAACTTCCTGAAATATTCGCACAGTGTCATCTGTCCAGCCAACACCAATGGAACGATGCTAATGAGAAAGCAAAGAAGCATTTCTGATAGAGATATTCATTTATTTCATCCACTCGAAAGCATCGAGGAAATTCGGTCAAAAACGTCAACTTATAGGAAGAACAGCAGAGAAAAGTGAATAAGAGCTTCAAGCATATTATTAGCGCAAAGTCATATATCCGCTTCAAAGAGCATGGGTATCGCAGTCTGTAGAAAAAAACCTATCGCATAGGAAATAACTCTGATCTCAAGCGACACATGCATGAGTAGCCATAGATCAGAGAGACTGGAATTTTGCTTTTTTTCCGGAAGAGAGGCGGAGTGGAAGGAAGGGGTGATCGGAGTCTCGATGAATGTGAGCCGGAACTGGAAGTTGACAATGGAAACGGCGACTGAGGAAAAACCCGTGCGCCTGAACGCAGACAAACACTGACCGGACAGGGTCATTGGCAGTGCGCTGGAAGGCTAGAGCCTAGAGCTTGAAAATTCCCGGGAGTGTCGGATGACTACTGAGCAGAACTTGAAGGTGGATAGGTCTGATGTGCCAGATGAGCGAATAAATTGTTTCACGCTCTGATAAGCATTCGGATGGGGCTATCGACACAGTTACCGATTAGGGCTCAACCCTTGGAGTAGTTCAAATTCAACCACAATGGATTCTCGATGATTAGGCTAACTACTTTGAGAGGGGGAAGGGAGGGAGGGCGGAAGTCTCGGACGGAACTCCAACCCGTACTTGTGACACGTGGAAAAAGTTAATTGAGTTGTTTCACTTCCCTGTTCTTCTTTGACATATATAATAAATGTATTTCCGCATTGGGAGGAATGAAAGTTAAAATTGTAAAGGCAGTATCGAGAAATAGACAGCAATCGAAGACCCATGAAAAGGATAGAAAGAATGCAAACAAGAAAATTGAGCGAACTATCTTTGCAAGAAGGGATATATGAGTGCCTATCATCAAAAAGTTTAGGACTTTCAAGCGGCAAAATTTATCGATGGAGATCGGAGAGTGAAGAGTCAAGCTTTTCATTCTGAAGAAATCTATTTTTGTGACAACACTCAAGCTTGGGAAGTTCCTATGCTACCAGAAAGTTCATTTTCCTTAAAAGAACGTTGAAAATACGGAAAAACAGAAATATCATTCTGACGAGAAAACAGGAGAGATAGTAGCAGTTTTGGATTGCGAACGATGGCTAAATGGAAGCAAAAATAACCGGTAAGGGAAGGGAGGAAGGCTGGGAGAGGGTGTGAGGGAGGAGGACTTAATTCATGTACCTAGATAGGTCAACTTTGAACGTGGTGGAGTATGTGAGAGGGATTTGAAACAGTAGGAATAAGTATATCGATCTATTAAGCTATGAAATATGGAGAAGTGGGGGTTTGTGGAGGGGAAGAGGAAGTATGACTACAAATCTCATTACAATCAGGTCCCACCCACTTTCCCCCCCCCACCCGCGCTCCAGTCCAGGCAGCACCACAGCAAATAAAAAAAGAAAGTCAAGCATGTGAACGAACCTACTGAAGGAGCTTAGGGGTTTGAGCGTGGCACAACCTAAAATACAGCGTTATACATAATGAAGCACGATTAGGCTTCGTAAGCTTCTCACAAAACTAGATTATATACATCGCACCCTTGTCCAGCAGTTCACAACGGACCCATTAGATTCCGTCCTTCAGAAAATCAAGTATTGGGCCAGTGCAAGTTGCACAATGTCTTGCACAATGTGTGTCTGGGTACCAGTAAGCTATAGATATACGAACGATGGGCTTCAAAAAGCAGGGACTTAAAACGAGCTATAATGTGGCAGCCTTGTGACAAATAATCAAATAACTAGGGATTGAAAAAATGAGCCGGTTATCAGAAGAGCTCAACTCACTCCTCTTCAAACAAAGGTGGGCTAGACTCCTAGCAGTTCTTGAGCAAACTTCTTGGAGAAATGGCTGTAGGCCCACTTAATAACGACTAGACTCCTGCAGCTCTCTATCAAGTTTGCTCGAACTTAATCGTCTGAGTGATCCAATAGCAAATAAAAAACAATCCACCGAAAAACTACACTGACATACTGTTCGTTCTTAAGTGTGGATGTATTGGAATGGTTCCGCTTGTTTGAGCAATAATTTAAGATGCAAGCGGGTTGTTTATTTATTCTGACTAAAAAAAACAAAACTTGAAAAAAAACCTCATCACAAGTTTCAAAGCTATTTATTTACGAGGAAATGGAAGGCCCAGTTTCTAGCAATGGAGTGAATTCAGGAACCCTAAAACCAGACGACCATGAGCGACATGATGAAATTGGTGTCTGAGATTCCCTCCTAAGATGAACCTGCTTCCTCTAAGGATAGCACGCTTCCTTGCACTAATATGCACCATGACTTCCATTGCTTCACTCAAGCTAGATAACTCAGGATTCACGTGAACCTGAACTCAACCAACAAAGAAAAATACATTTTTTTTGAAAACTTTTTTGTTCTTCAATGTAGTAGAGTTCATAGTCAGGTGTTTCGACTAAAAAAAATGGTATCCTTTGTAATAACCAAATTTCGAGACACGGCAGCGGTAAATAACTGTCCTGTAGCTCCGCAACCCCAGCACGCCTCCGACTTTATCAAATCGATTATGGACATGTAACAGAATTTGTACCGTGGTATGCTACTCCTCGTTTATTCTCAATATTTCCAGAGTAGCAAAATCAAATTTCTTTTTTTGGCTCGATATTCTTGTTAAGTGGTGCTACTCCGAAGCAGTCTGCGATGCGAAAGGAGGCTCACAAGGTCAGCAACACGGCAAATCTTAAGCCTCTGGCGAGACTCGAACCTTGTGCCTTCCAGGCACTGAACTAATTAATCCTTGCGCTACAAAAACTCCGTTTGCCCACATTCATAGTGGCCTTTCTGCCATAGCTTTTCAGCACATACACGTACAACGTGTGAGCAGGTCAGCCAATACAATCACTTAGCATGATTTTCAGAAAGCACAATTACGGGCTTGGTCAACGTCTGTTATCGAAGTTTCGCTCGCAACACCCCATCCTTGTGCTTCGACTTTCTTTCGAAGTACAAAAACCAGGTATAGAGTAGAAGGGATCGAGTGCCGACAACCTAGCCATATCATAGTGGCAGTAAAACGATGACTTTAGCTGAGTAGAAATACGGTCCTGTAGTTACAATGTTTGCATAGGATGTGGCTATCGAAAGTGTGAACAAGATAGCGTGCGAGCTGGCTCTCGTTAGAATTGATTACTCTTCCCAAACACACTTCTTCATCCGTTCCAGTTCTTTTGATGTGCATCTTTATCTTAAGAGGACCACTTCCTGTTCATTGCTTACATCACTCAGCAAACACAACATTTGTAGTTTGAAGATCTAGCTGGCTGAGTTGAAAAGTTACGAGATAACAGCAGAACCGTAGAAAAAGTACAGTAGTCAGTACATCTGCCAAAATATCGGGAATAGTAGAACATTGCTCAGACGATTAGGAAGGGCTCTGTACCGATGGGTGAGGGGGAGAGCGGGCATGCATACAGCGTCAATGAAAATCTAAGTGATCTTCCAGGGCCTACTTGGCAATAGCCCAAACCCAATAGGCATGAAGAAATGAAGAGCATCTGTTTAGAAAAGAAGAGCAGGCCAAAAGAAATAACTTGAAATTTATGAGGTCAGATCCCTGCTTTCGCAATCGATTTCAACTGATGTTGGGGAACAGGCTCAGAGAAAGCATAAATTTCAAAACGTCCCGTACGCGCTACACACCACAGGCTGAACATCTTCTCAGCAGATTGCTCAGAAAACTACGCATTAGCGTGGAACGTCTATTAGAAACACATTCTCGTCCACAGACTATCGGACTGGTTCGAAGTGTTTGATCTTGAGAATTTAAGCGAAGTACGGTTGCATTTGGATACAATATGGTGTTTCTTGGTGCAACATTACGCCCGCACCAGCAAATTTAGTGAACTGGTACTTTTCTAGGTTGTTCAAGAGTCGCTAATCTTTGAAATCTAAGGCGAAGAGAGATTTTCGATTGCCGGAAGAATATAGGAAATCCGCTACCACACTTTCCACTTAGCTGTAGAGAGAGCGGTACGGAAAGAGCTCACGTGTCTGCAACCAAAGACTCATACTGCTTTTCTGGGTAACCAGCAGGAAACACTGTCTGCCATATTGTGCCTATATCTTACGTCTGTTGACACTTCAGAAGCTATGACATTCTAAATTTTATGAGGATTTTCTCCGAACGACGGATTTTCCACTTGATCTTGAGGAAGGTCGTTGGTTCCGTTTCCGAGAGGAGAACAGCCCCTTCTGGTTTCGGTGTGAATAGAGCTATGCGAACGATACTATATGCAAACATTGACACTATTGTTCCTTGTCGACCAGTGGCGATACGGCCTTGGATTCATCAACTCCTTGCACATTTTTCAGCATTGGAACCATTCATTTACTAATATATAATATTATAAATATAATCAAAGGAGTTTATCCGAAGGCAAGCTGGTAGCCGGTGTTTGCCACGCACGCGTTGTAACCACATGGAGTGGGACAGCACGATTGCGGTACTTTCGAATTCGTCAACAACTGAAAATGAGAGGTACCGTAGGGGAAAATAATTCAGAAAAGGCTGTTCCTCCAGCATAAAATAGATTGAAGACTCACCTGACAATCCTGGTCGGAGTTGCACCAATTGGTTGAGCGACTGCTGTGCATCCGGCATTTAACGCTCAGTAGCGATGCGGGTGGACATCGATCGTTTTCAATTGATCGAACACCTAAATTCGATTTTGAAGCTGTTTCGGAGCACTTGAAAAACTGCTATGCCAGGCATTGGTGTCGTAGAAGGGTCTATCTTGTGAGCATTACCACGATTGCTATTGGAATGAAAGGGAGCTACGGAAAGAGGAGCTTGTTTCTATCTATTAATCAAGAAACCATAATTACGATTACCAAGCGACCTAGCCATCCTGACTGGATCTCTCATAGGGAACTATCAGACGTTTGAAGTGAAGTCTGTCTGTCTGTCTGACTGACTGACCTACTGACTGCCTGTCTGTCTGTCTGTCTGTCTGTCTGTCTGTCTGTCTGTATGGCACAAGCCTAATACACACAGTACTGGAGTGCAGCTCTCTACTGCTCTAGCCAAAGTTCTATGAAATGAGCATGCGAGATACGTGCCCGTAGCGAAAAAATAACCAATCTAATAACAATTCGCAGCAAGCACTACTCACCACTGTCGAGCACAAATCCAGTCGATGGCAGACAGACGTTGTAACCGCAGCCTTGTAAAACATCCATATAATAATTATGTAAAAGGGAAAGTGCAAAGCTAGAATACAAGACAAATAGCTCCTAAGGAAAAATGAATGGTTGGGCGGTTCGGTTTTCGTCCGCACTAACTCGTTGAGTACTGCGTGCAGAGGTTGAAAATCGACAGTAAGACTGATTTTACGACTTTGGTCGGTTGCTTACCCTCCATTTTCGAATTTTCGTCATTTGAGCCCAACATTTGAGCACATACGCTCCTACGGGGCACGTGCGTCTGACCAAAATTGGATTTGAGGACACAGGACTTGAGGAGAACATCTCCCCTGCCAAACGAATTGAGAAGCTCACTATTCGACAACAAATTAGTATGTTGTGGTCATAAATAATCTAAAAATGAACCTGTGTCGCAACAAAGATGTACCGAACCAGCCATACAGTCTGAGTTTGATCGGCACCAGCTCGTCACAGTTCTTTTACCTCCATAACTGCATGTGTAGCCCATTTCTGGAGGAGATGGACAAGCAGTTGGATTACTGGAAGAAAATCTCAGCATGACTTATGGCTCGGTAACTATAAGAAAATGATGAATAACCTTGGTAACAACACGTTGGCCGTCATGCTAATACAGCACCGGCCATCATCGTCAGCAGAGAGGCAGCTGTAGCCCGATTCACACGACACTTTGTCTTCTCGACAGTCCTGCAATGAAATATACATGCAAACCCCATAATTATAGCCGTCTACCTCAGCACCTCATACACTTTCGTTTTGCACAATGCCCATCGACTTCTTCTGAATGTGACTGCTTTACGACGAGCTTCTCTTTCTTCTAATATCGAGATCATTTTTGCCAAACGGCTTTCTTCTGTGGTAGCAGGAACTAAAGAGGCAAAGTTTACATTGTTATAGTACAAACAAAAATTAGCTCTCGCAGTATGTAAGTATTTTTCATTGAACAAGAACAATGAGAAATCAAGTAGCTTCGCCAGAGAATGACGTTGAGGTGAGCTTCAGGATACTCTTTGTAGGTACCTCATTGTTTCTGCTCTGCTTGTAGAGACTTAATCTGCTCCCTCCCCCACTTTCTTCCATCATTCCTCTTATATAGATCTTTTTGATGGGTTAAGTAAAGGCCGGGCCAGAGCTGAATGAAATATATCCGAATCAATATCAATATTAAAAAGGGTCAGGGTGTCTTCAAGATAAGGCCCTTAAGAATACTAATGGTTGTTGTTTATGACGATTTTTTGAGGAATCAAATAGAAATCAAGCGTAGAGTGAGCTACCAGTTGAGGGCACCTTAATCACACCTACATTAATAAAAATAGCGATATTCACAATATTCGTAACCATCCATCATCCTTATACATTCTCTCCTGAAGCCTGACACGTCTTTTTCTACTTCATTAGAGGGCAAGGCCATTTTGAAACTCCCTCGCCTCCTTCACCCTCTTTCAAAATGAAGAAGCTTCTGATGTCGGTGATTCTCTTGTTCAATGAGAATCTGCAGGCCTACGTAAGGTGATGGTTCAAAAGCAAGGATAAGACTTAACCAATACCGAACCTTCAGCAGTTTCAATTCGCCACTCCTTAAGGAAATAGTGGGACTGGCCAGCAATTATGTATTTCTGACCAGACATCAACAAAGAAAAATCAAAACAACTTAGTCAACAGGTAAACATGAAATGATCTAATCACTCGTGAACAATGAAGAATATGAATAACTGACCGCTTTTCTGGTGCTCTAGGCAATAGGGATCAGTTCTTCCCAGTTGATGCAAATATTCGCAAAGGGTCATTTGTTGAGGAGTAATAAACGGTATTAAAATAAATAGTAGAGGATAGAACATGACAGAAGTGCAGTCGCTAGCGTCGCTCTTCACTGGTCGAGACGTTTGAGGAACAAAAGCCATGTAAGCGAGACCTTTTAGAACCAAAAAGGTGTCGCGTGGTAGACAAACAGACTCGATGAGGACACGGCCACGACCCCATTCTACAAAATCTTCAAAATCTACTTAAATGTCAGCTTCACCTAATTCATAGACAATTGCTCGAATTTTCTTCTAAAACCTGAAACTTTTTAATTTTTATTCATTGATATGACACAGAATGTTTGCTGGCATTGATATGACAGCAAAAAAATGCGGAGAGGTAATAACTGAAAATAAATCAAAGCAAAGACTCAATGTTGTTATAGAAGCACAATCTCTTAGAGGATTAACCTATCGCGTTCTAGGTATGTGCCCTTGAATTCGACTTCCCTTCAGAATCGTAGTGGGCTTTCGAAAGTGTATGTGGTCTATGCCGCAGTGGTAAGCCGATGTACCACCAGTGCTTTTCCCTTTGCGAGCGCGTCTGGTATTAAATAGGCGAACCCAGAGGGGTGGAAGGCATGGTTGGCCTGGGCGAATATTAATCTGCGATCAGAACCCATGACCGTGCGTGTGATAGTGCGAGACTTACCCTTACACCATCCTCGCCTAGAAAATAGCTAACGCAGTACGAAACCGTTACTCTCAGCTCACTGCAGAAAGGTGGCTTCAGGGGAAGAGATTCACTTGAACCGTCTAGGCCGTGTGCAGCTCAGTGCAACTCAGAATAAAGCCTGCCTGATATCGGAAAATCACATTCTAAAAGACATCGTCGTATCTTCTATGTAGTTCTGTGACAAACTAATTAATCTCAGGAAAAGTAGGTACAATCCTAGCTTGTAATGGCGAAAGGTAAAAACGCATAATGAAAAAGACATGTTATACGAAAGATGGCGTTAAACATTGTTGCGAAAAATACGCTCAGAAAGGGGAAAGTAGTTAAACGTTTCATGATCCACTGAATCAATGTGCTGTTTATCTGAAGGATGCTCGAAGTGATTCTCTTCGACTCAAAGTCATTTGCGAGCATTTCTAAAAGATTTTGAAAGTTTCGTGTCAAGCAGCGAGAATGATGTTTCTGAGTGTGGGATTTCACTGAAAATTGCAGTTTCTGTATGGTAAACAGACGGACTTTCCATCAAAGTACCCCACGGAAAGTAATCGCGTAGAGGTGATTAACGCGAAGGCAGACCAGTATCATTTAGGTGAGATCCGTTGACCGTCTTTCAGAACGTTCATAGACTTTTAAGTGACATGTGCACCTGCCCATTCGATCGGAACAAGGCACCCCGTCCGTTCAGCACTGGTAGTAATCTAAAATTTAGAGGCAGTACCGCTCTACGGTGTTTTGAAAAAGGAAGAACACAATGATGGGTGACAATTCTATAAGTCAGTACTTAAAAAGCCGTCGCATGATACTGCATGGCTACTTCCCAAGTGCTATGTAGTAAGTGCTCAAAGTAAATTACTGTAACACTGGTTTCGTCTTATGAAGTGATCTCCCCCCTACATACGTTTTCCTGCAATTTGTTCTCAATCCAGGAGATGGCTACTGATAAATAAACAGCTTTGCCAAAATAAAGTAAACCATCACGTTTGCTTGTCCGTAGTCGTACAAGTCCTATTACGCATGAACGAGCCTTCCTAATCCTCTCTACTGTTTCCCTGCACGATGACAGCTACATCTAACACCGAGCTAAGCTCATGTTACTGTTCCAGCGCATCGAGAGCGACTACCTGCTCCTCAACAGTCGGATGAACCAGATCGGGCGGAAATACACGGAGATGCGAAAGGATACCTACGAGAATAACTTTCACTCGATTATGACCAAGGAATCCAAATCGACGATATGCTCAGAAACACCGTAGAAGTGACGAGTTGAGGAGTCACGTAGAAAGGTGCCAAAGTGGGAAATTCCTGCGTTCTATGAACCCGCAATCCAGGTCAAATACTCTCTACAATGGCAATTACAGCAATAAACTACGGTTTCTAATAGGCATAAATATCATTGTTCTTTACAGTTGTTCAGTTAATGAGGGCCGATTACTTCACAGAACTCAATCGATCATTTTTACAGTACAAGGTGAATATTATAGATGAAAGTAGGTGAAGTGCTGTCGCGAAAGAAAAAAGGAGGGATGAAGAATTCTCATTGCATTTGCAGTGATTGTTTTGCGAGATTCTCCTTCGTATGATACATATGTGGGGCCCTCCAAAATGGCATAGAGTTCCACATAACACGGCAAATATCGTTCTTTACGTGAGTCATCTATGTAAGTTCAGGCGCTCCCAACGCAAGTTGCTCTGGCTAGTTAACAAATTCTATTACACAGTATTTCTTTTCTTCTCACAGTCAATGAATATTCACAGATTGGTGCAATCCCATAAATGGAATGAAAGATGAGGTCAGAACATTGTGGATGTGACCGAATTTATTGAACCCTTACCGAAACCCTGCTTGTTCGTATGGATGTCCTTCTATAATATTCACCGTTCTGTCAAGGATGACAAGTTGGATGAAAACTTTGAAGATGAGAGACAGCAGGCAGATCAGGCGATAGATACCGATATCATATCGGTCCCCTTCTTATTCATCGTGTTAGGATTACCTCTTCCGTCTCAATCTGTTAAGTATCAAAGGACTTCTTCAAATCGAACGTCAGACATAACGGCATCCCGTACTCTCCCATGCCTTCAATGGATCTTGTAACGGTGTGTATATGACCAGTTGTTCTGGACCCGCTCCGGAACCCTGATTGCTCGCATGGCTGTCCTTCATCTAACATTCTCCCAATACCGTTGTGGACGAGGCGTGTGAAAAATTTTTTGATAACAGACAGCAGACAGACACTTATCAATCTAGCCGGGATCTTCCTTCTTATACAGCAACACACGACGACGACAGTTTGTATAAAGGGAGGTGCCGCGGAAAGAGTTCGGATGACAGCTGTTTGTCGGAAGACTCTTTATATGTTCTGGTTTGATACCCTCTGGAACAGGTACCGCACAATCCTTCATCGACGAGATTGCATGTCGAATTTCAGAAACCGAGGGAGAGATATATCTTTCATGCCTAAGATGACAGGAAGGCAGTCAGACGTCACTGTCGAAGAGATCAGAATAGAAATTGTGGAAGACCATCTCCATTGCCCTTCGAGATGCAGTAACTGTTCCGTCAGCACGACGAAAAAAGTCGTATTGGTTTTTTCGTTGGCGAAGTTCCGTCATAAGGGAATGCTCTTCCCGACTCTGGCAGCTTCGTCCATACCTGCCGGTCTTCTCCTTCCAGATCGTCGTCTCTCCGCATTGCTTCGTAGGTCCAAGCGTTTATCGATGATTCCTGTAGCTCGCGCGTTTCCCGACGGTGCATCAGCTCAAGAAACTCGGAGCGACCTCTTTTGTCTGCTTGTAGACTCCCTGCATTCCTAGAATTATCGTGAAGGTATCCAACGAGCCGTTTGTATTCTTCATCAATGTTGTCGATAACTGAATCATCCCAGAGAGTTGCAAGGAAAGCAAAGCGACCCTAAATGATCCATCTCGAAACTTCGTTTCCTGAAATTCGCAGCTCTGTTTCCAAGCACTGAGAAACAGAATCTAGGGTAGAGAAGACGATGTTTCTAGCTCGTGTAGAACTTCGAAACAACAGCTACGTCAGTCAAGCAAAACTTCCGATTGGAGGCGATGTGGTCTGTTTCATTATGAAAATGTTTGCCAGAAGACTTTCTTGTCCATTAAAGTGCTTACGATTCACCGTGAATAAAATGTGTTCAAAATCGGCACAGTTTGCTCTTTAATCTGCTTGTTCCGATCCACTTCGTAGATCACGGTGGAGAACTCTTTAGCCGTTCCTCAATAAACTATCTCTGCGTTGAAATTTACAGACGGTGACTTTGAAGGAAGTGCGGACCTTTCTACTAGGCCTTTCCAGGTTTATACTAAATGCTTACAGTTCAGCTCATCCATCGAAGCTTGATGTTGGTGCGCATGCTACGAAGATTGCTAAGGGTGAGGCTGATCCAGGCTTTTTCAGTCACAAACTTCGGATACGAGTTTCCACATTGTACGAAACTTCTATTGGCTCAGCAGTCGCATATTCCGGAATAGCATAAGAGTTCCTCTACAGCCTTGTCAACGGCGGTCAGACCCTTTTCAGAGAAACACTTGAGCTTTCTAGTCTGCATCATTCCACTCTTTCAATGCGAGCGATCCGATCGTGCTCTGGAAGTACAGTTACCATCCTAGTCCTTCTCCTTTAGAAGGTCTGGCTATGGCCTTACGATTTCAGAACCTCTCCAAAACAATCTTACCCAGTGCTGCCGTATTGGGAGCTCTTTCGAGATCAGTGTAATCAGACCCATTTTTGTAACAGTTTTTGACATATAGGCACACGCAGCACTTTGGGCCCTGACATGGGAGCTGGGTAGATTCCAAGTAGTTAAATAGGCTATCTCAGAGTAGACACTGATTGACGGCGCCTAGCAATGCACAACGGACTGTTTTTTGCAGTCTGCCCTGATTTCTGTAGAATTAGCTTTCAAGTGAATGCTGTTTAAAGTTGTTGTCAGCAGTGTTAACCGAATTAACAACATCTTGCACCATATTCTAGGGCTCAGCAATGCTCTGTTGCGCAGCAGTCGAATTTTGTCAGTTCATATTTGTGACCACGAGACTTGGTGGCTGGCATTTTTTGTTCAAATATGATTGAAGTGTTTCTTGGGCAACTCAAGTTTGTGTGAACCTCACTGAACTAATATGATTTCTTTCGTTTGTGCAAGTCTAAGTTTGTATTCCACACCGGCGTCCAAAACTGTTCGGAGAGAGACGCTTTATTGTAGATTCTTCGCCTCCTGAAGACTCTCGCGGCGATGTTCGACAGCTTTAGCGGAAATCTCCCACAAACTCCCAAGGGAAGCGAAGCCATCCCAACTGATGAACGTCTTGAAACTCGTTTCCTAAATTCGCAGCTCTGTCTCCTCGCATTGAAGAACAGTGTCCAGAACAGAGAATGCGTGATATTATACGCAGTAGAGCTTCGGATTTATCGCTTGCTTCCCGACGGTATCAAAAACCTGTCAAAATCCAAAGGGCTAATTAAGATCATCTGGTTTTTCATAGTTTTGCATCAAGACTGCTAACTTTCTTATAAATAGAATACGTTCGTTGTGGCGTTAAGATGTAGGAGGGCAAAAACTGATGTGACGAATGCATGCATCATCTAATCCCTTAAAAACTTGTGGCATGTTTTCAATTAAGGATTCTATTACCGAAAAATTGATACAAGTGCCAGTAAGTCAATGGAGAATAGTGTTTATTGCCATCATTTCATGAGGCATCACAAAGACCTTCACTCTTGTTACAACGACACTGCTGGCAGTTGCACATTGAGCAAACATTTCCTTTCTCATAGATGTCAGCTGCAATCAAATTGCCTCTGAAACAAGGTTTTTCACAGAGCGGATAAATTCGGAAGGGAGAANACTTTGAAACGCGTCTTAGTTTGAGTTACTTGGAACGGAGCAGTTGAAATACCATACCGTTGCTACAGATGTCATAAAAAGGATTTTTTGCTCAGGAATCATCTAGCTCTGCAGCCGCTGGAACTATTTGCGTAGCCAATTGAAATAAGGAAAAATACGAAAGCTCACCTGATGTTCCACAATATAAAAGCACTGCGCATATTTTGCAGACATGCATATTCTATTCGAACGATGCTCGTGGTTTCCGCAGTGCTTCATCTAGTGAGTATGGAATTTCACTCAGTATAAATAATCTTATCCTTCACCTTAGTGATTTACATCATTCTAGGTGCTCCTGAGCTCATTCGTACTACTGGTACGTATCATTACACAACATTGCACCTCATTTGAAAGTTCTAAAACCACATATTCAGATCGATGTAATCTGAAAAATGGAATGACAGATGAGATCAGAGATGTGTTCCTCAAGAAACACAACGAATATCGGTTAGTGTTCAGCCACGAAATGCTTTGATACCTCATGTGATCTAGAAGTTTCCAGATCCTTAGTTGCAAGGGGTCTCGCCAATGACAGGCAAGGTGGTACTACTCCGACGGCCGGAAAAATGGCGAGAATGGTGAATTTTTTACGTACTTTGTAACAATGCTCCCTGGATTTGGTAAGTGAGCGTGGTTTTTTTTCAGAGTTATGATTGTAAACTCGAAGAAAGTATGATGAAATGGCTGAATAAATGCATATTTCGAGACTCTAAAAGCGGAAACGGAGAGAACAACTGGTTGTCAACTGAGACTCGTTTGAACAAAACGCACGCTGCGACAATGGTGAGATGATTGGAATTGAATAGACTATAGCGAGCAACTAATCAAAGGTCATTCGTAGAGCACCAGAATATGGTTCAGTGAACTAGAAACCAAAGGTATTGGAAAAGAGAACAAACTGACGGAGCAAGTGTTCAACCGAGGCGTTGGACACTATACTCAGGTCACACCAAAAGTTAGCAACGAAGTTGAATGTTTATTGAGACTAAACCTATTCTAGATGGTATGGCAGTCAAGTAGAAAAATTGGATGTGGTGTGAAAGTGTGTGAAAAATTTGTGCTCGCAGGTTGCCAGTACCAGAAACGGTATGTTTTCACAAGTTAAGGGTTTCTAGCATTCTCGACTTCTTGCGTTGAAATTGTAGCGCTTCTGTATGATGTTTTCTCCCTTCCGAATTTATCCGCTCTGTGAAAAACCTTGTTTCAGAGGCAATTTGATTGCAGCTGACATCTATGAGAAAGGAAATGTTTGCTCAATGTGCAACTGCCAGCAGTGTCGTTGTAACAAGAGTGAAGGTCTTTGTGATGCCCCATGAAATGATGGCAATAAACACTATTCTCCATTGACTTACTGGCACTTGTATCATTTTTCGGTAATAGAATCCGTATTTGAAAACATGCCACAAGTTTTTAAAGGATTAGATGACGCATGCATTCGTCACATCAGTTTTTGCCCTCCTACATCTTGACGCCACAACGAACGTATTCTATTTATAAGAAAGTTAGCAGTCGTTGATGCGAAACTATGAAAAAACAGATGATCATAATTAGCCCACTGGATTTTGACAGGTTTTTGATACCGTCGGGAAGCAAGCGATAAATCCAAAGCTCTACTCCATATAATGTCACGCATTCTCTGTTCTGGATTCTGTTTTCAATGCGTGGAGACAGAGATGCGAGTTTTAGGAAACGAGTTTCAAGACGTTCATCAGTTGGGATGACTTCGCTTCCCTTTGGAGTTTGTGAGAGATTTCCGCATTTCCGCTTAGCTAATTCTACAGAAATTAGAGCAGACTGCAAGAAAAACAGTCCGTTGCGCATTGCTAGGCGCCGTCAATCAGTGTCTACTCAGAGATTGCCTAACTGACTACTTGGAATCTACCCAGCCCCCATGTCAGGGCCCGATGTGCTGCATGTGCCTATATGTCAAAAATTATTGCATAAATAGGTCTAATTACGCTGATTTCGAGCAAGCTTCCTAACGGCAGCACTGGGTAAGATTGTTTTGGAGAGTTTCTAAAATCGTAAGGCCATAGCCAGACCTTCTGAAGGAGAAGGACTAAGATGGTAACTGTACTTTCAGAGCACGATCGGTTCGCTCGCAAGAGTGTAGTGTGAAAGAGTGTAATAATGCAAGCAAGCAAGATTAAGTGTTTTCCTGAAATGGAAAGTCTGACGCCTCCACCACCGACGAGGCTGTAGAGTAACTCTTATGCTGCTCCGAAATATGCGACTTCAGAGCCAATAGAAGTTTCATACGGTGGTTTGGAAACTCTTATCCGAAGTTTGCGATTGAAGAAGTATGGATCAGTCTCAGCCCTAGCAATCTTCGTTGCATACCCACCAACATCAAGCTTCAATGAGATGAACTGTAGGCATCTCATATGAGCCTGAAAAGGCCCAACAGAAGGGACCACGTTTCCTTTAAAGTCTCTGTCTGTAAATTTCAGCACAGATAAATTCGAAGGAGGAACGGCTAAAGAGTTTCACACCGCGATCTACGAAGTGGATTGGAACAAACAGGCTGTGGAGCAGTTTGTGTTCATTTTGAACACATTTTATCCACGGTAATTCGTAGTTTCCGAAGCTCTTTAGATGACAAGAAAATTCTCTGACAAACCCATAATGAAACTGACCACATCGCCTCCAATTGGAAGTTTTGCTTGACTGACATCGCTGTTGTTTCGAAGTTCTATACGAGCTCGAAACGTCGTCTTCTCTTCCGTGGATTCTGTTTCTCAGTGCTTGAAAACAAAGCTGCGAATTTCAGGAAACGAAGTTTCGAGATAGAACATTTAGAGTCGCTTTGCTCTCCTTGCAAATCTCTGGGATGATTCAGTTATCGACAACATTGATGAAGAATACAAACGGCTCGTTGGATACCTTCACGATAATTCTAGGAAAGCAGGGAGTCTACAAGTAGACAAGTGACGTCTCTCCCCCGAGTTTCTTCAGCTGATGCACCTCCGTGAAATCGCACGAGCTACAGACAATAATCAATAGACGCCTGGACCTACGAAGCAATGCGGAGAGACGTCGATCTGGAAGGAGAGGAGCAGCAGTTATGGACGAAGGCACCAGAACCGGGAAGAGCATTTGCTTAGATTGACGGACGTTGTCAAAAAATGACCAACACAGTTTTGCTCGTCGTGCTGACGGAACAGTCACTGCATTTCGAAGGGCAATGGAAAAAGTTTCTTTCGATTTTTATTCGGATCTCTCCGAGAGTAACGTCTGACTGCCTTCCTTTCATCCTAGGCATGAAGGATATATCGCTCCCTCGGTTTTCTTCCCTGAAACTCGACATGCAATCTCGTCGATGAAGGATTGTACGACCTGTTCCCGAGAGTATCAAATCAGGACATCTGAAGAGTCTGCCAGCAGACAGCTGTCTCCCAAACAGTTAACGCGTTACCCGCCTTTATACAAACTGTCGTCGTCGTAGAGAACTGACATTACTGTGTTGCTGTATACGAAGGAAGGTCCCAGCTAGATTAGTAAGTGCCGCCAAATCTGTCTTGTCGGTTATTGAGAGTTAGAGCTGGCGGCCGCTACCTATTTCGTATCGTGCTTATATCACCGAACACCAAGCAGGGAGTGCTAGCCGAATTTGACAGCGCTTGTGTAAAGATCGGCTAAAGATTGAACCCAACGAAGACGATAATTATGAGGAACGGATTGGTATCTCCTAACGTTGAACAGAACGATTTTGTCTAGGTGCTCTCGCCACGTGTATCCAGGTCGAGAACTCAACATGTTTAGTGACCCAGCTCCTGAGCTGAGCAGAAGAAAATGCGCGGGTGGGGACCATTTAAAACCCGACTCCGCGCTCACCTTTTCGACAATGCCTCCTTCCCGCTTTGACTTACACCTCGAAGTCTCGGCCTCTTCAAAGCAGAAACAACATGCTGTTGCTCAACGCATTTTGAAAAGGACAATGTTGGGAATTTCCTGTACACATTTGTGCAGTATGGAATCGGGCTCAGCCCCAAAGAAGGGGTGGAAAGATCGAGAAAGGACCCCGCCGATATCGGGGTGGCAGTACAAGATGCTGTAGGTAGATTGAAATGCAGGAGACTAACAAGAACAGCGGATCACGCGACTGGGCGGGATTAACGCTCAAAAAATAAGGAAAAAGGTAAATTGTGCAGAGAGAGTTTTGCCCATCTTTCTACAATTAGCTAATTCAGAGTTTTATCGGTGAGTTCCACTCAGGTAATTTGATGCACATGCACCCGGCGATTGCGTTCTTTAAGGGACGCTTCATAGTTATGGATACCTCTGCTGCAACACTTTGTGGGGCTCTCCTATGCTTCTAATTTTGACCCTACGCATATTTTCGAGTACACGCAGTGGTTTCTTTTTTACTTTTCCTTGCAAAGGTGAAGCCTTCCAGTCGAACATCACAATCTTGAATTCTGAAAGCCCAGACTTTTCTGTTTGCTGGAATTGCAGAAAAGCACTGTCTCCAGTTATGCAAGAATTATTGCTTTGACGAACCAGCCGTTCGGTATTAGTGGCTATGGGCTGTTCAGTGGCTGGTCAGAAAAGTGTGGAGCGAAATTTTTCAGCAACTTTGCCGTAGAGACCCTTTCTCACGTATAAAGACTGATATTACTGCCAGAAAAAAGCCTATTGAATTAAATTATACTTCTGAGACCTACATACTTGTGTCAGTATTGAAGTTTTGCGAATTCCTGATGACTTTAAATAAGTAACTTGCTTTTCACTGAGTGACATATTTATAGCGAACCCAGTGAGCGAGTTTTTTGTGTGAACGTCTTGCTTAAGAAGAAACGGCTGATCAAACCAGCTGATCCACATCCACCCGGGAGAAATGGACACCACAGTTCACCTGAATGGTTGCAGATTCAACAATCCTGCAAACAAGAACCAGTTTCTCCAGTACATACTGCAGCCCAGCAGTTGATATGTAGATTTAAAAGCGGAACGATGAAGTCTCCGGGCGTCAAACAGTCCCGTTTGGAGAATGCCCCCTCGCATCCGACTCTCATTTAGAATCGTAGGGCGTATTGAATGCGTATGTGACTTATACAATGAGTTGTGGTGGCCAGCCGATGTACAAGTTAGTGCTTTTATCTTCCCAGATGAGTCTGGTACCAATTCACCGACCCCCGAGGGGTGGAAGTCTTGGTCGGCCTGGGCGGATATCGATTCAGGATCCGAACCCGTGACCATCGTGTGTGATAGTGGCGCCACTGACCACTGACCACCTCCGTCCTTATCGATAAGGCTTATCAAGTTTTATAAACAGAAAAGTTGCTGAATAGAGGACAATCACTTTATTCTATAACATGAGCACAGCTACACTTTAGTAATCAACAGAAAAAAAAACACTTGCAACTCGAATTTTCAAAATTAAAAGTATAAAGCTGTATGAAATTGAATTTTAGATACTAACGTACAGTGCACAACATGCTTTAATCACGAAATATATATAGATAAAAGTCTAGCCTGACGAGAACGACAAAATCTCTAGAAACTAGTATGAACAGAATCATTTAATTTCCATACAAGCAATACTATATTGATTACTACATTAACTCTTTGACGAGTGGGAATCTCATTATAAATCAGACTTTAATTGAAAATCCACCGAAATTTTCATTAGGAAAGGTGGCGGAAAGTGGCCGAACTTGCAGAATACGTAGCTATCGTTTTACCCATTGAAAACATGGTATGATTTCGAATTCGTACATAGGCACGTTCACCAAATATGGGAAAACTATATCAACGTAGTAATGAAGTGCAGCTTTGTCATCTAAGCATGTCCAAACGTATGTTCACTGTTCACATAAAATATCCAATAAATCAATAATAATCATAACGAGCCAAGTATGGGAATCACATTTTGCGTAAACTGGGGTCACTGGTTGATGTTTGGCGTATAGCCATAAGTTGAACTGAGATAGGTTAGAAATCAGCCGATGACAGCTTCCGACTGAATACCAGATAAAGATGAATATGATAGTGTGATAATTGCGTCTAAACATTGCGACGATGAAGCGATGAAAGAGACAGTACGGCAACCGAAGAGACACGCCGGTGAAGAATCGATTACAATAAAGAATGGGGCGCATGCGTCTGTCACCAATCAATAAATCAATGATATAGGAGTTGGTGATGGATCATTTAACCCATTGGCTGGAATTTCCATGTTTCCATACCATACGGATTTGTGGTGGTTCCAGCCGCCGGTTGAGTATATTGAAAGTAGTCCATGGGGCTTTGGTAGTTTGCTGAAAAGTAGGTTTATCGATCGGCTTAAAATCGATTGAGTCCGGTTTTAGGTCAATTTCATGATATCGACCTGTACTCACCGTAACTGTACTGCGCTTGTGGTCGGAACGATGCGGCTGCATAGTTGTTCGGCGAAGCGGTGCTGCTCAGATAGCTGGCCGGAGCCGCCTTCTCGTCGGGACATGGGCTCTGTGAGTGTTCGCTCAAAGTCGACTCTCCTGGTTCTTCGGATTTGATCTGGAATGTTCCTATTTAGACCTCTGAGAAAATAAGCATTTATAGACATCTGCCGTCCTTGATGTGTATCTTACATTTACATCACCATCGGTAGTTGAGTTAGTGCCTTCGGTAGACGATGACCCGCTGCTACCACCCGAACTGTTCTGCTGAGATTTCTTCTGCTGGCGAGCCTTTGCGCGACGGTTTTTGAACCATACCTGAAATAGCTTAGCTATTGACTTTTGCGATTTTTTAGAGTAATTAATAATTTGCTACTTGTTAACGTTAATCTAATCTGATCGGGTTACTATTTGCCACAAGAGGGACGGCGCTTAGGCTGAGAATCCGCTCTCAGAAGCGCCCTTGTACAATTTGTTTCACTTTGACCACTTCCACAGTCTTCCCAGTAGTTCATCCAAGGACCCTTTTTGAGGCTTCCCAATGGATTGCTGGAATAACCATTTCTAGCGCGATTCATTTCAATCCCTCAACCATTTTTGGTATCCATAGTTTATTTTCTCTACTCTCATGTATTTCTATTGAATCGATATGGTCGTGCTAAACGATTTCTATTTGGTCGCCAATCGAGGACGGAGGCCGTGCCCGATGGTTACGGTAGGAACGAGTTTTGGACGAGCGCATGTCCCCTTGCACGCCTGTGACGGAAAAATAGTGTGTGATCAATGGAGACCATTTGCAGAGCTGATAAACCTCACCGAAAATTTGGGAGCTCCCTGAACTCCCGTATTTCAGCTATAATAATCATGAGTTAAGTTAACTTCATTCCCAAACGTGCTGTTACGACAGTTGGGGTGGGGTAATTTTTCTAAAGGAGAATTATATTACCAGTTCTGCAAAAAGAAGTTATAACTCATTCCTGAAGCAACAGGGTCTCATAGAGCTCATTATTTACACCAATCTCCTCATACCCAATTTCGGACCAAACCATGCAAAGCTCGAAATGGACTGTACCTGTACACGACTCTCGGGCAGCTGAATCTTTAGCGCCATATCCTCTCTCATGAAAATATCCGGATATCTTGTCTTCAAGAAGGCATGTTCCAGAATTTCCAGTTGGCTTCGAGTGAACGTAGTACGTTCCCGTCGCTGCTTCCTGAAATCAGTTACATACTGGTTTTGTTTGGGAAAGTCTCAAATTTTGAACAAACTTGTGAAAGGCATGGTATTTGTAGGCCGCGGAGAGGAATCCTTCCGGGAACTAATCAATGCTCAACGGCCCACTCTCTTCTCCTTATGGTTTTCTAAGGTCTACTCTACTCAACGGTGCAGTCTCGAAACTGCAGGGCTGTCAACATTGTTCTGGGTCTATTAGAAGCAACCTGCGTTTGATGAAAAATTATTTTGTTGCGGAACCAAGCCATTTACAAGTTCAACTAAGTCAAATATACGAAGATTCCACGCAACTGTGTATAGACAAACTTATGAGATAGCCACATTGCGATAGCGAGTGGTCTATCGGAGCAGAGCGGAGTGATGGCACACCCGTCAGCTACCGATATGAGAAGTTTGTTTTGTGCCGAGACTATGTTATTTGAAAACCCGTATGAGAAAAGATTCATAACGCCTGCCAGTCCCTTAGGTTTACCCGTCCTAGTGTAAGCGACCATTCAGGAGAGGGAGGGGAGGGGGGAGGGGTTGGAGGGGGGACAAAAATATGATAGCCGATTTTGGTGAATTCAAGTGGTTCATCGAGCCCATGAAAACTACTCAGACAAGCCTCGGACATGCTCTGCTCTCAGAGCTCACCATAATGATTGGGGTTCCCGACAGAAATTCAGTTGAGAATGTCTATTTTGTCCCTATCACCCATGTTTCATTGAAAGTTAAGTAGTTCGTCTTAATTCCTACTTTGTTACATTACCAGGTTCGATGCCACTATGGTTATTATCGGTTATAATGACACAAACATCCGGTATGCCCGACCTTTGATAAGGGAGGGTCAAAACGGTGGAAATGGGGCCAAAGTTAGTGAGCAGGTGAGCGACTGCATAGGGGATAATAAACAACTGGTAGTTCGGGCAAGTAGTAAACCCTATCATAAATTAGAGGAATTGTGTGAACTTCATGGTACAATACTTCCCACCAAAATTGGATTAGCCTAATTCAGTGCAAAATTAGACACTTTTCTCAAACCATTCTGGAATGCTGGGCGGAGTGCTAAGTTAACCTCAAGTAGTGTTAACGAGCACAAGTTTTCATTTCCGGTTGAAAAGAAAAGTTCGCAGTTGCCCCGAACCACTTCCATGACAGCCCAACTTTCATGCCAGTGTAGGTGATCCTGCTGCCGAATTTCCTTCAAAAACAATGCTGCCTTACCTTGGTGGTCCTCCAGCGTTCCATGCAAGACCAGCAGGTTGACATTCCGCCAAACTTCCTCCAATGTAACCCATACCAGTTGGTAGAAAGTTGTGTGTGGGTGCTGTTGGAAAACCAAGATGTGGAGCTCCATAGGCGGCACTTTTCGAGTTGAAGTAAGCTGCCGTCATGTTCGCCACCGATGACATATTGGCCGCAGCTGCGGATGACACCGACGGAATGTACGGCATCGACTGTAAATACATAAAATTAACTGACAAGCTACAGTAATCTGTGGACTCTATTGATAACCCTAGGCACGTTTTCGTAGCTACTCTGGTTATTTCTCGTGATAGGCCCTGTTCCAGTGGCATCTAAAATGATGCCAGGAATATCCGGTGGTCACACACTTACTCACTTGGGACTTTGGGTGATATGTGGCACCTTACGTGGCGTTAACTGCCCAAACAACTTCGTATTGGTCTCAAAAGTACATTCTGGAAACTTTTTATGCTGAAATCATTCGAGGATCATCTCACCTCGACTCCACCTTAATAGCTGATTATCGCTGACAATGGTACTGTTATCTTTGTATTTCTATAAGAAATTGGATTTTAAACGCTCATAATAAGCAGCTGACAATCAAGAAGTCACATGAAATTCCAGCCCGATAATGAATTGTTTAGCGAAATTGGACTCAAATGGTGGAATCACGGTACATTCACGTCTGTAGGGAGCCCAGGTTTGAGCCTCAGAAATCAATCTGTGGAAGTCAGCATCATTGAAACGTCTGGGAGTTCATGAGTGCACCAAATTCAACCGCTCTTACAATGCTCACCCAGTTCATGGATGGAATGGTTGAACGTTTAAAGTCTGTCATTTATATCCGCAATTGTCTGGCTAACTTAAATCCTGGAGTGGTTTCAAAAATCCGTTCATAAATTCGATTCAGGCGTCAGACCACATGAAATTTGACATATTCCCTTATTTTATGATACTTTATAAGCATTCTCATGGTCCGTTTTCTGAGGACAGCGTCAGTCAGGAAATCGCAAGCACTCTTCACAAATGCAAACTCGAGGGTACGAAGTGTCCAAAGCCCTATCTAGAAACAACATCAATGGTACGATGTGATAAGCAAGCGCAGATTAGACTCCCTAATCAAAACTTTTGCCCCCTTTGTGACGAACAACGCCGAGTTCATTGAGACTAGACTTCTGCACACAGTTTGTCAAGTAAACTTTATAACAGAGGAAAAGGCGCCTTTCGATGACGCCTCCATATGTCACTAAATTTTCATAACAGAAAGCTCGATGGTGTTCAGGAAGGAGATTGATTGATTGGGTGAAAGCCATGCAAGGAAAGACCAGAATTTCTCAATGATAGCAAAAACGGGTTCACACTATCACAAAGGTACTAAAATAACTTTGAACGAAGGGAATTCGCTTGCTGACGAGAACCTTCCACGACGTAGTTGGATTGATCGAATAGGTCCAATGTTCTACAACGTTGTATCCCACTGCTTCCACATCAAAAATGAAAGGATTGATTTGTAACCATGAAAACTTACAAAATTTCCGTTGTTCATCGTTGACGTAGGTATCATCTGATGCAACGTGGTCGAGATTTGCCTATAGGAAAACAAGATGCTCAGCAAAATATGTATGTAGCAAGGCGATGAATTTAGAGGCGATAATTCACGGATTTTGAAAGAAGCTAATGTTGTAGACGAAGCGAAAAAGTCAAGTAACACATTAAGAAGATGAGCTGAGTGGGAGAGAAGAGCTTAGCTGGGGCTTACCTTGTCGAGAGCCACGCGGTCGTCGTCGTCTAGCCGAAGCCATTCTGAGCCGTCGCCAGAAACCAGGCGAAAACGAATCGCCAGGAGTCGCTGAAGCGACTGTTGGGCGGCGACGACGGCGGCGGCGGTCTCGACCCGATAAGCCTATCACATCATCCTCAGATTACGATAAACCACGAGCTGGAGAGCGGCGAGCCGGCGGCTGAGCCAACGTCAATGCGATTTTGCTACGCAATCCGCATCGCGACACGCCCCTCCACGGCACTGTCTCCGCGTCGCCCTGCGGCCGCCGACGCTCTCTCGCCTCGCAGGCACCGCCCCCGGCTGTCCGACCAATGGGAGCCGTGGACAGGGCAGCGGGCTGCGCTCATTGTTTGAGCGACGAAGCTGGTTGTTTGGTGGGGCCTGCACGGATTACGGTAGTGGGACACGCTTCACTGATAGAGGACCACACTCTACCTACACACAAACAGGCAGCTTGACAATGAAAGTGAGAAGAAGAAGCGATTGGGAAACGATGCGAATACGGTACAGAAAAAAGTAGAACGTTGAAAAACAGCAGCTGCTGCTGACAGGAACGACACCGAGGCGGTACTGCTGGAATGCAGCACAAGGTTTTTGCTAGCACGACTTGATTTGCTGTCGAATACAATGAAACACTGGCCCATAGGTGTCCAAGAAGGTACTTTAGGGATTGCAAATAACCTAGACTTCCTAAGAGACCATTCGGCGCTATCGCTTTGCTACTGCACAAATGTTGCCTCAAATCCGTAAATAATCCTGATAAACCTGGTTCGCTCATTGTTGACAGACGCTTAGTAAAGTAAACATGCTGTTCCTGATCAGATTAAAAGGGGTATTTCTCCGTCGACCTTGACTCCTAGTCTTCTATTTAGCTCACGAACTTTCTCGAAATGATGTAGGAGATGAATCGAAATGATCTATAATACACAACCGCTTCTCCTACCTGAGCAACTATTACACCTGACACCTATAATAAGCAACTAAGAACTTTCTATGTGATCCCTATAATCTTCAGAAATTCTTGATACTAGTGGCAACGTGAAACCACAGCGATGTTGGGATTCTCAAGACGACGAAAGAAAGACGACCATTTCACGAACCGCCTCATCCAACTGACTGGTTGGTCGTATTCACGACTAGAATATACCCCAATTCTCAAAATTCCTAAGATATGCCTGAAATATCTAACGACTTCTACCGAAGGTATAGATTGCACTCACCAGATTAAGATTATTTGAATGATTATGGCTACCACCACCTGAAGACGCCATCGTTGGTAATTCAGAAAACCACTAACAGCAACTGCAAGGCGAAGGAGCAGTCGTAGAAATGAATAGTGGAAATCAGAAGGATGGGCTGGATAAGCTTACGGCTATTCGAGGATTTGCCGACTGTCTCAAACTAATCATCGTAATGGAAAGTGGCTTGTGGTGTGTACGTGTGTAGCCGTCGCCGTCTTCGCGAAGAACACTCATGATACCCTGAAGAACCTCCAAACAAGGATCACTCGTTATTATGATATTCTCTTAAAAGTATGGTAGTATGGCGAACTAGCTACATGAACTGATAACCCGGCGCTCCATAAATCAAGCAGCGAGAAAATAAAAGGGGTAAAAAAGAGTGAAAGAATGATCAGAAAATCAATGCCTTTTTCTGAGGCATCGTCTTGATTGCACAGTTGCTAATCATCTGACAAAACAGGACATTTCTTGAGACACTTGAACTCCCCTGATAATCGTCACATCGAAAAAAGAGATCGATAGTAGCCAAAAACTGCGCTAATGAAGACATCAAGTTCAAATGCTATCTCTGCACTGCACTATTTCGAAAGGACAAGCTGTAAATGACAACAAAAAGCAGGGAATCAATACAGTATTGATCGGTTGATCGATATGGGTGGCATGGCATCTGTGTGTGTGTATGTGTCCCTGTTGTTTAGTTTCATTCTCGACGGTCGTGCAGCGAGCGCCTCACATAACCGGGGCGGGTAGTGTTGATTTTTCGGCTTAGACATTCTCACTGCCCCACCTTTTGGTGACTAGTATAGGTGTGATTAAAGCGATAACAATCACTGATAAGTGACTGCTAGGCCGGGCCAGTGCGACGGCAGCGCCAACGACAACACAAATTCCATCGAATGATTGAATTGAATTGCCCACTAAAGCACTAATGCAAACCTAAGGAGCTGATTACCAAGAAAGCAGATTATCGTACTAAGGCGACCACTGAATACCGCAACACTTCTGATGCATATCGATCAATGCGTAGAGTTCGGCAACACTTCTAATGAGTATTGATTGACGCAAAGATCAGCTAAGTATAAATACTTCCTATATACTGCTGACCATCATGCTGGGAGCCGCTCTCACATGATTTTGCATTTTGCAAGGGTCATGCACATAGGTTAGAGTTAAACTGCCTTCAAAGACTTTCTGAATTCAACCAAGGATAAGGAATAGTTCCAAGAGTTTTTATTATGAAAAACATTTCGGGAGGCCTCAGTTTACCAAAATCCAGTTCACAATGTCTGTTATCAGGATACTCAGCCAAGGGAGGGCAACTTGTTGTTGATGACGTAGGTGCCTTCCACCTTGCGAAAGCCAGACATCAATAATATCGCACAGAAGTTGGGCTTGCTGAATAACTGCGGTTTCGAAGAGTAGTCTTTTCATCCCTTCTATTCGTTTTCTAAGCCCAGACGATTATCAATACTATTTTTGCCTATTCTGCGTATACCTGAGTAGTGGAAAGGTGTAGCCGACTCTTATAATCTTGGTGTATGCTCTATAATCAATCAGTAAATCAGCAGAAAGCAGAATTCAAAGAGGGAATCAGAAACCCGTTAAAGTGAAACCTTGTATCGGGGAAGCGATTTCGCCAGATTGATTCCCTCGACTCAGATTTGACGTTCTCTCCCCTCTACTCTCAAAAGGTTAGGAAAAAAAACCTACAACACCGTCACATTCTCAAATTGCAACATCTCTGCCATCATGACGCCGATCACATGGTGATCGAACCCGGCCAACCCGATACAGTACAGCTGTTCGGATTAGTTGGTACGTAATCCACCGCTGGGTGTCCAACCTCCTTCGAATCAAGATGAACGACCTCCATTGATCGACAGCCCTCATAAGGTGGGAGTTCACGGCTCCTGGTAGACCTACGCTGTTTACAAGACTTCTATTCCTATTTTGAGCAGCTTTGGCGAACCACTGCTCATCCATCACTTTCTTTCAACTGATGTATTTGAGCAGTAGCCTTCGTGCTAGCTATGGATGTTCTCTAGGGTGATGATGTCGGCAGAAAACTTTGACCGAACGTGATGTCTGAAAACCGGAAAGCAACTACTGTATCATTGAACATTCGAATGATCCGCTTATATGCATAAGCGAACATCATTATTCACCGCGAGGCCACCGACGAGCGTAGGTGCTCGTCGGCGGTCGGGTGACATTCTACGGCCTCGAAACCGGACTTCCAACCATTTCGAATAGTTACCATAATCCATGGGCCAATATGAATTCATATTGCAAGGGTGTACGAATGTGT